GCCCGGCTATTTTTTGGTTGCAGCCATCATTGTTGTTTGGCAGGTCCGGGCTGGGGATTCGAACCCGCCACCTTAGGTGTACGTGGCTGGCGCCTTAGGCGGCTGAGCTATAGGCGCAGAGCCCCACTTCAAGTTCTATCTCCATTTGTTATAATATTTCATCCATATTAATAGCTGAAAAAGTATAACTTCTTGTGTTTTATTCTGCATTATTTTGGATTATTTTCATAACTTTTTAAAAAAGATTACTGGTAATATTGAATATTCCTATAAAAATTTACAAAATTCTCAGCACCTAAGACCTACAGCACTCTTTGACTTACTTGATTATGCTCTTCAGGAGACGTAGAGAAGATGCAACACAGAAGCAATAATCAAATTGAAAGAACTATGGCCTGGGGATCAAGAAACCTGATTTCTAACCTTGGGTCTATGAGTAAATTATGATGTGACCTTGGGCAAGTCATTTATACTCTTGAGCTATATCTCAGTCTAAGATAAATTCATGTGTGGTATTTAGGACTAAGTATTAAAATGCGATAACTCAAGACAAAATTGCACCTAGTTTTAGCATTCTTATTTATCTTTCTTTAATGCTTTGTCAATAAGTTCTCTTTGGTAAAATTGGGCATTGATAAAGTTTTGGGATAATTTACTTTAATATTTAAATAACTAGAATACATAGAAAAGCAAATAAATAGTTCATCTATCTAATATTTATGCTGCCATTACTGAAACCCAAGCAGTTGTCATATTCTCCAGATTTCAATTAGGTAGCAAGGTTAGGAATTACAGGACATCAGCATTAACACAAAAGGCCATCAATGACCACCTCTATGGATTTCCTGCCCTACCCCAAATTCCCTGGATAAGGGCTCCTGAACTTCAGAACTACTGATATCTTGGGTCAGATAATCCTTTGTTATAGGGGACTGAGCTGCACATCATAGGATATTTATCATATTTCCTGGCCTCCTTCAACTAGATGCCAGTAACACTTCCCCACAGTTGGGAAAACCGAAAATGTCTGCAGGCATTGCCAAATTTCTCCGGAGGAACAAAACTGCCCCCAGTTGAGAACACTACTACATATCCTTTAGCGTGGCTACCCTAGATTCCTTTAGAATTAAGCTTTTACACAAAATTTTTAGTATATTGCTGCTTATTACACAGCCTCATTAATACAGTATGCAATGATCAAATCTCACTGACAATCTGGATTCTCAAAAATCATAACCATTCCAGTCACTTTACATTTAATACACATACATAATATAATTTTGCAAAATGACCTCTTACACTACAGAGTTTACCCACGTTATCTTTCCGGGGGCCAAAATGACGTTTTCACACTAATAGTGACTTTGGTAGCTAATATTTTAATTAAGATATTTAAGTTATAGAAACCATGATACATTTATTTAATGTTAGCACCCTGGCTTTAATTTACCGACCAAAGTGTTCAATGTTCTACCCATCTACCAACCCTATTCTTCTCCATCAAGTCCCCATGTTTCCTGTAACCCACTGAACTGCTTACATGCTCTGGTTCCCAGTGACTATGCCCTATACTCAGCCACCCACCTTTTCATCTAAAGTTTTAACAGAGGTTTGTTTTATTTCCTTGGGTCTATGCATATAAGTAACTTGGGAAGGAGTACTAATGTAAGCTTATCAGCCATAAAACAACAATAAACCAAACACATAAAAAATACCTACTCTTTAATGCTATGGTGACACAAAGAGAGATAAATATAAGACATGAAAGAACCACAGAGCAAAAAGACCCATAAAAACAACTAAGAACCATATACCCAAAGTCATCCATTTGGGTGACTAATTTGATACGCTGTTAGTAAAGCCCACATAAGGATATCCTGCTTGCAGCTACAGATGAAAAGTAGAGCTGAGAGCTACATTTATAGATTTGGGACTCAACACCTGGAAAAAAAGGACAACATGATAAAGTTGGTTACCTCAGAGGAGGAGGTTCAAGGGGCATTTTTACTTTTTACTCTAGATGATTCTATATTATTTTTTTCAGATGAACATCTAATTGTGTGTTACTCCAATAATTCAAAAACAAAAAGGTAAATTCAGGAGTGTAGGTGAAATCTCAGAGGCAGAGAGTATACAGAGTGAAAGGGCAAAGAACTTGACACCCATATATACAGACACAATTATAGTGCAGAGGGAAACAAATGCAACAGAGAAGCATCAAGAGAGGCAGCAGAAAGAGAACTAGGGGAGTACAACAATTTTACAGCCAAGAGAGGGAAGTTTCAGAAAGGAACTGATCAGTCAACAGAACCAAAAAGGGAAAAAGGAAGAGAAGTAAGATGGCAGAACGGAATTTATATCTGAAAGAGGCTTCTTAAAAATCATAACCTTCGGCTCGGCACCTATAGCTCAACCGGCTAAGGCGCCAGCCACGTACACCTAAGGTGGCGGGTTCGAATCCCCAGCCCG